GCATTAGAGGTCTGTCTGTCTGTTTTAGTTACTTGCCCTAAGCACACAAGAAGCATAGATGGCTAGGTAAGGTCTTATTTCGGTAACTAATTTTCAGCCTGGCTGTAACTGGTTTTTACTTAGTAAAATATTTGAAACTTATACCAGGCTAGCCTTGAACTCACAAAGATCCACCCACCCGCCTCTGCCTCCAAGTGGTGGGATTAAAGGCATGTGCCACCAATGTCCTAAACTGAAAGGCATGTGCCACCAACGCCCTACACTTAACTTCTGAAAACATAAACTGTAACATCTTATAATAGATTAGCATCTTTTATAAAATAAGGACTTTACATTGTCAGGCTTTGCTTAAAAATAATTCTAAATTGAAGCTCTTTAAGTACAAACATTAATAAAAAGAAACATCTAAAACTGGTTTTAAAAATAAACTTAAATTCCCTTAATGTCTTTCTGTAATATATAGAAGCATTAACATTTTGAATCTTAACTGAAAAACTTGTTTCTAAGATGGTACCTCTAATTTCCATGCGGTCATCTTTAGCAGAGATGGTGGTTTAAGTATCTTTTTTCAACTTTAGCAAAATGGCTACCAGTCATTTTGTGCTACGTGGCTGCCTACAAAATGGTGGTGACCCTCACCATTTATTTTAGCTACATGCTTGTAACAGAACTTAGGTTATGCCAGGAAACAGAACATTTTAAAACAAGCATACATAATTTACTTGAGAAATAAACAGAATTAACTTAATATGGTTAAAATTTTAATTTATATTACCAATTTTTAAAATTTACTATTTGTAGACCTGAGAAACCATAACAAGCAGTAAACAGTTTACATTTTTCTCTGACTTGTAACAACCTTTCCTCTGACCTTTGACAATTTCCCTCTGACCTTCTACAACTTGCTTTAACCCTCTATAACTTTCTATATACCTTTAGTTCATTACTTTGATTTCCTTAGACATTCTTAGACAGATTTCTCTCATTTTTCAGTCAACATAAAAACTCTTATCAAAGTCCTTCTTAAGGTTTTTTGTTTTGTTTTGTTTTGTTTTTATAACTTTAAGTGTGTTTTTTTTTTTTTTTTTTTTTTTTTTTTTTTTTTTTTTAGAATGTCCAGATCAGGCCAGATGGTTCACCTACTTGAGCTCCATGTGCTCACGGCAGAGACACTGGGGAGGGGGGTGCTGCTGGTAACTCCAGACCCTCGGCCAATGCAGGGTGGGAAAAAGACTCCCGCAGTCCCCCTGCATACCACATGTGTGGAGCACAGAGAAGGCCGGGCAGCCAGGCAGATGACGGCCTTTGCAGCCATGTTCCCTCAGAGCAGGGAAACTCCTGCCGCAAGCCAGGACCCATCGCAAGACGGCAGTTGGGGCAGAGACAGCCCCACTTTGCATGCCTCACAGACCGGCAGGTGAGGATAGAAAAACAGACTCACCTACATCGGCCAGGCTCAGCTGTGAGTGCTGCAGCAATGGTTGGAGTTCAGAGTAGCAGCCTCAGGGGACTCCTCCGCAGCACACTCTAACTCTAACCCGTGGTGTATGGCAGAGAAAGTCCTGTCCCGCACCAAATCAAATGACCCTCGGACTTTTGTCCAGGGAGGGACTTCAGAGTCTCTGAACACGTCTGTTTCCCCCTGAGGTCCATATTACAAATCCAAATAACAAGTACAACTCCTGCGCCAGCACAGATCAAATTCAAGTCATGGCACCAAACCAACAAAACAGCAAGAGACATACAGAACATTTAACATATAAGTTGTGAGCTCAAATCATCTTACCTCCAAGATCGAATCCACTCAGGTGAGGGGTGGTCGCAAATCCCGGACGAGCCCCCA